TATAGGAAATAAAGTGCACAAAGTGAACTCTCTTCCTTGTAATTTGAAAAAGCAAAATTAATCTAAAAGGAAAAATTATTTACTTTACAATTTTTGTAAAATTGTAAAGTACAGTTTAGTGAATAATTTTTCTTTAAAAATAAAAATAAAATAATAATAAAATTTAATAAGACATACTCTCGAGTTACAAACTAGTTTTCAAGAATATTTTTAATAAAGTAGCATGTCAGCCATGTACAATGAGTAGTCATAGCGCTCCCGCAACCATTTCAATGAAGAACTATGCCCTAATCCGCATACCTCTGCGAGCTGCTTTCTACATACTCTCCAGATGTTTCAAAAAAATTCAAAGAGTCCTTTAGAAGCATCAGGTGTACACACTCGAGAGGCTCTTGACCGGTCTTACAGATGCAGAATGCCATCAATGAGAAAAAGCAGATCGTTCAGTGATGACAAACTAATGCGTATTTACACATAGGCAGAAGTGTACAAGAAACAATTTTGCCTCCAATCTTCATTAGCGAAGAGGGGTAAAGGGTATTAAGTCTAAGTCGAGAGTATTATAAATATATTTGATAAATTGGGTTATCTGCTTGGTACTTCATATAGAGATTTGAGCTTTAAACGCAAAATTCTCTTCTTGTGAAGCAGAATGTTACTAATTAAACCATTTGTCCGTAAGTCACTCATTAGAGGTTAGAATACTTATGAATACTTATTGAAAATTGGTAAGTTAAATTTTTTCCACACCTTTATTTCTGTGCTTCTGATGAATTTACTTCATGCTTCCCTTTCATATACCGTAACTCTACAAAAGCTGGTCCTGCCACACGCGATCCCATAATAAGAGCAATTGCTGCTAATTAAAACGATGTAATGGTTTTATTACACTAATAAAGAAAAGACGCTCTCAAATGTTTGGAAAGGTTGCATCAAAAATGAGCGCCTCCCACAACACTACGGTTTCATCTCCTGACAGAATTTCTTCCTAGTAATACTTTCTTTTGTAGAATTTTTCGCAAAATTTTCTTCTCCAATTA